AGAAGAACTTCGTTTCTCTTCAGAAACACTGTGCTTTCTTTTGTGCCTCATAATATTTCTTTATGGATTAGGGCCACATTTGAGTTAAAGAACATAAATATATAAACTAAATAAACTAATAAACCCACAGGAAAATAGGTTATCATGTGAGTCTAGAACAGCTTTTTTAGCAAGAGTGATTGGTAGGAGAAGATGGAAGGGACGTTTGAAGAGACATCAGCCATTTGGTTTCGATCTGGTTGTTTCAGTGAGCAGTCTTGGGGCAGCCCTTGTAGACCTCTGTCCATGCACTGTCACTCAGGGCCAGGAGTCAGAATGGGGCTTTCCTGAGTGACTACAACTGCTAAGTGCTAATTGAATGATACTATCTTTCTGCAAGGATGCCAATACCTAGTTTCCAAACCGATACCACTGTGTAAAGACAGCTTGCATGAAAAAAAATCCATATATTTCTTACTTTTTACCAGCTACAATAAATACTTGGTTACACTTTCAACTAGTTACATACTAATGAAATAATTTAGTTTTTAAGCATCATTAAATGTGAAATTTTATAGCAAGGGCCACACTATGAGGCCATCTACCTCATATTGCCAATATCTTCACTTAAAAGTCTGTACCAGCAACTTTCAACCTTTTTCATCTCATGGCATATACAAACTAATTACTAAAATTCTGAAGCACACCAAAATATATATTTTTGGCTGATCTGACAAAAATAGGTATAATTTTGATTTATTCACACTGGAGAGCTATTGTTGTGCTGGGCGTTACCATTTTTTAATTTGACAGTCTAAGGGAAAAGAGGTCAGTGACCCATAGTCAGTTATCACATGCACTCTGTTTGGAAATCACTGGTCTACACAATTATCTAGCCTTAAAAAAGAAGGACATTCTGACACATGCTACACCATGGGTGAACCTGGGAGACATTAGGCTAAGTGAAATAAGGCAGTCACAAAAAGACAAATACTGCATGATTCCATTTATATAAGGCACCTAGAATAGTCAAATTCAGTGGGACAGAATGTACAATGGCTCTTGCCAGTTGCTGGAGAGGAGGGGAAAATGGGGAGATATTGCCTAATGTGTACACGGTTTCAGCCAGGGGAGGTGGAACAGTTCTGGGGATGTACCCTGGCAACAGTTGCACTGCGATGTGAATGTCATTAACACCACAGAACTGCAAGGTTAAAATGGTAAATTTATGTTTTGAATATTTTAGTGCAATTTATAGAGTCTACATGATGAGCTTGTTTCTTCCCGCCCAAACTTAATTTTAAAGAAGAAACTCAGGATCATCTGCCCCGTTTAGGATGGGTCCAAAGAGCACGGACCATCCTGGGGAGCCAGTCTGTTGAACTGAGGCTTCGGAGGTCTGTGAGAATAGAACTGGATGGATAACTGGGTAACGCTTGTGCTAGTGGAGACATCTGGCAGATGGAACACTGCCTTTTTTCTTCATTAGGATCTACAAAGGCAGCGTGAACATCCAGCAGCTAGAGGGAGAGTCTGCTTCTACACACGGGAGGTGCCTGGAGGCCACCGCTTTGCCAGCTCATCCCCCGAACAACTTCCCCTTTTCCTTCTCCACAGGGCTTTCTGATTGCCAAGATTTCTCTCTCTTAGTCTCATTGCTTTTTCATTCTCAGGGTGGGTGCTGGTTCACCTGTGTGGTTTGTGCAGACACCCTAAAATGCTACTCTGGCCCCGTCCCCACCCCATGGCTTGTCGCTCCATCACAAAAGGATGGATTGAAAAAATGATGGGTCCAACACACTTGTAATTTTTCAGCTTACTTTAGTCCATACATTGTCCAAAGATCAAGGAATTAAAAGTTGATCCTTTTTGTTTCTACTGTTATTTTGGGCTCTGACCTCAATGAGGTTGCAAAAAAAAAAATGTATGTGTAGTCTTGGCCAATACACCTAAATCTAGTGGTGATAGAGTAATCGCACAGGCTCCCAGCATTGACACCTACCATGTTATAAATGTTCTATGTAATGTCTAACTTAAACAACAGTTCCTTTTATAAATGAGAAACTGAGGCTCAGAGAGAAGTCTTGCATGAATACATTCAACTAGCCAAGTGATAGAATTGGGCTATGACGTAGGTATGTCTGAGCCCGTGCCCTTTCTGCAGTATTTTCCTGGTATGAATTCATTTCCCCTTTGGCATTCCACGGAGCTTTGCTATATGTAAAAAGACAGAACTGAGCACATGGCTTGTCTAAACCATTTGGATTGGGAATCAAAAGGGAATTCATTGTGAAGACAGATGAACTTTGAGCAGGCTTTCTGCACAAAGATTTACTCAGTGTTTGAATAGACCCTCCAAATTTATATTTTCTCTGATAAAATGACCACCATTGATTAAAATGCAATTATAGTTATCAAATCGAGATTTTACAAGCCGTTTGTTCTGTCCACTAGCTTAAAAGTACCTAAGAGGAACCCAACAATATATTTTTTAATGAATAAAATAATTGGTTGTAGCTCTGCATAGGGATTTTCTGTTTGTGTGGTCTGAAAAGAAAATAAATGGGCTCTTCAGAAATAACTTATGACCAGGATTATAGTAACCTCTTCCTGGTTCCCCAGTTTATATGAAAATCTAGTATAGATGGATTGGTTCCTGCATGTCTTATCCTTAATTAAGGGAATTTTGCATCTTCTCTATGTTAGACATTTTAACTCCTAGCTTGAGGATGCTAAAATGAAAAAGGCTCTGAACTGTTGGTTGCAAGATCAAATACAAGGGGGGACAAAAGGCATGAGTGTGATTATTATCTGCAGTCAAACAAAGTTAATTTACAAGGTCTATCATTGAATCTGTGGATGGGGAAATCATGAACACTTTCCCGTACCAGGGTATGGTAGGCATAAATGCCTCTCTGAGGTGTGTAAGGTACCTTGCCTTTACTTTATTTAGCAGGCTGTCTGTGCTAGTCCTGTGAGTGAGCCCGGCATTTTTTCAGGGTCTCTAGTGCACTCAGTCCCTCCACTCCTCAGGAGCAGGATTTTATCCCCCAGTGTTCCCACTATTTGTGGCTGCAGAGGGACCATTCTCATGGGGGAAACTGTCCAGTGGCTGATGCATCCACAGTGAGGGGAAATGGATCTGAGAGAATAACTTGCTTACCTCTTGGAAAACATCACTGATAACCTGAGGCAGGTGACACTCAGGAGGCTCTTACTGAGCGAGTGAATGGCGCGAAAGGACATGGTGTTGCTTGAGTTTCCATGTAAACCCAGGAGCTAGCACAGCACTATCAAGTACTGAAGGCGGCATCGTTTCCTTTCACTTGGGAGGTGATGAAGATGGAAGGTGAAGCTGTCAGGATTGTAGCCCTCTGAGCCACAATCCTGGCACTTTTGAGCTAAACAAGAGTCCTTGAACATGGATGGGTTACAGCCCAAAGTTCTTCCCAAGTAGCTTAAAATGATCAAAATATTCCCTGTGATAGTGTAAGTCCTGAAACACAGGCAGTCTTACCACCTACTTTCATTTCTGTGGTGACCGAAAGGGCCTCCCCAACGCCTTTTATAACTTGCTGTTAAACCCTTCAAAGTACCAGGGCTCTCACTTCCCTTGCCTCATGCCCCATGAGAGGGAACATCCTTAAACTACAGTACTTCTTTTCCTCTGGATCAACACACCAAACATGCTGACTTTATCTTTCCTCTCCCACATTCCCTTCCTCTTGCCTCAAGCCGTGTCTGCTGGCACTAAAACATTGCAGCCTAATCACTTAAGCAAACAAGCAGAACAGAAACAGAATCATAGATATGGAAATCATTTGGTAGATTATTGCCCTCCAAATGGAGGGCGAAGGGGGAAAGCGCAGGAAAAGGTGGAGGGATTAAGAAGTACAAATTGGTAGGTACAGAACAGACAGGACGATGTTAAGAATAGCACAGGAGATGGAGTAGCCAAGGAGCTTATATGTGTGACCCATGGACATGAACTAAGGGGGCATGGCCAGAGAGAATGGCGAGTACAGGGAGGAGGCAGGCAAAGGGGGAGGAATTGGGACAACCGTAATAGCAGAATCTATAAAATATATTTGAAAAAGAAAGAAAAGAGATGCTCCTGGAAAGAGAAGGAAGTTGCATTCTGAGGCCTGAGGCTCCATCTGCACTGTAGCTGGTAATTGACAATTTAGTCTTTTTTTTTATGGGGTCGTCAGTAACACTGGCTGTTCGTGAACCCTGGACACTACAACAGGTCTGCACGGAGCAGGGCACCCAGAGTGCCTGAGTCCCTTAGTGACTGGGGAAGCACCTGATTAGTCAGGCTGCTGTATGTTTTACTGGGGGTGACCAAATTGTGCTTTATACAAAGCCTAGGATTGGAAGGAAAGAAGGAACCGAAGTTTGCAGTGTGCCTACAGAGCGCCTGCATGGTGGGAAGCACCGTGTTAGATAAATGCACAAATTTTGGAGTCATCCTCACCTGGGTTTGATTTGGGCTTCGTTCTCCAGCTTTTTGACATTAATTAAATCACATATTTTCCTGATGTTAATTTAGTGTAGTGAGGATAATACTCTCATTCTCACAGAATGTGGCTGGGATCACATGAGAAGACAGGCCTAAAGCCTAGTGGATGGCAGAAATGTTCGTTGTGATGATCAGGAACTTTGAATGTGTCACCTTACTAATCCTCCCAAAATAATGTGGGATGGGGGCTTCAGCTCCATTTGGCCAAATAAGGAATTTAAACATCGAAATGATAACTCTCTGAGCGTCATTTGAACCCAGATTTGACTGGATTCCAAACTGTGCCTTTTCTACCACCCCGAGGAAACTTGATGAGTAAAAATTGGCTGCACGTGTTAGTAACAATGAGGCACCTGAAATTAATGACCCTGGAGGCTGAGAACACAATTCAGCCACAAGACGCAGCCCATGCAAATTAATCTTTATAATTGGCAGCTCCTGGGAGCCAGCCTCCCTGCACCAGAGCAGAAGCAGCTTTTTTGCTCTTCACTATGGAAAATTTCAGAGCCGCGGTGGCTGCTGAGGTCACTTGTCTGAAATAGGTGAATCCCTGTCAGAAGGGACATACAAGGTTCTCACCCCACAGAGCTTTTCTGAGAAGGTTTAAGCACATGGGATTCTTGGCCCCCTGTGAAGCGGCACTAAGCTTGGACTACCTGCTCCTCCTTCAGGTGAGCGCATGTCTGGGAGGGACTTTGCTTCCTTACCTGGCTGGCATTGGGACAACTTACACAATTTCTTCTCTCTCTCAGTGAGGGTGGAGCACACAAACAGGTGGAATGAAAATGGGTGCAGTGTCGTATGTTGTGAATGCGTGTGTGTTCTGTATTGGGGAGGGGTGGTTGTGTTGTTAGGCAAGAGGCCTGGGAACTCTGTATGTTAGAGAGAGAAAGTGTCTGGGGTGTTTTCTGGCCTGCCAACCTTTTCCCACACAGTTTGCATCATATCAGAACTTGAGACTCTGCCCACAGCATGGAGTGGGGGACCAGAACCTCATCTGGCACCACCTGAGAGAGAATGCCACTCCCTGCCCCCCTTACAGATTCCTCTCATTTGCACCATGTTTGGATGACCTTGGGCTGTCCTCTCTCCACTCAGAGAGGTGAGACGGGACCCAGGTAAAGTGCACTTATCTTAAACCAGGTGCCCTAGGTGTGGATCCCAGGGCTGCCTTGTGCTATTTCTGAGAACTTGCACAAGTTGTAAATAGCCTCTCTAAGCTTCAGTCCACTCATCTGTAAAATGAAAGTTATCATGGCTATGTCATAAAATTGCCAGAGGTATTAAATTACTTAACACGTGAAATGTGCTTTTTAAGATACTAGCACACAGTAAGTGCTTAATAGACGGTAGCTGTTGCTACGGCAGTGAGCACGAGCTGGCCCCTCGGGTAAGCTGCATGAGAGTGGAAGAGACCTAGAGAGGCATTCAAACCTCAGCTCGCTTCTTATTGTTCGGGTGGCTTTGCAAATTTATGTTGACTCCAAAGTTCTAGGTTCCCTGTTATTTTCCTGCCTATTATCAGATAATGTCCTTTTTTTATTGAGGTTGATTTAGAAATGATAGTAAATACAAATAAAATATCTGGAAAAGATTTTCTTTCTCTATAAGTGTTCAGTGACCACTGAGGATGGACTCCAATTTTATCAACCATTTCATTAACTTTTAAAAACTCAGCAGACAAGGCCCTCTGATTGGCACCAAAGTGCAGTCAGTTCTAGTCAGGAAAGTGACAACCCTCTGCCCTCGCACCCTCCTCCGTAAATCCACAATCCTAGATTTCTTAACTTGCTTAAAACTTATGGGCACCCCAAAGCAGTATTTGACAGAAAAGCAGGTCAGCTATTCCTTTATTGCCCAATATTATTCTGCTTGTGGCCTTATGGAGACATCTGTTAGGAATAATATAAAATTGCTTGTGACTCAAACTGGTCTTTACTCAGCTATTAACACACTGGTCAGGAAGTGATTCTGAATTAATTTTTATGACCTTGATATAAACCCAAGGAATGTCTCATAGACATTAATAATTTCATGAGACAATTCTTCCTCCATCAAAACATTCCAGAATGTTATGACTCAATGTGCTCTTCTCTTTCTTACCTTTCACCTTAATGCCTTGCTGTCTCCTGTAAATGCCCTTCCTGCATCCCTCCACCCCTCGTGTGCCAGCGGTTCTGTGGTGAAATTGCAGCCTCTGCATCCTTCTATCTAATGGAAATGAGAACTTCCAACCTAGTCTGAGAGAGGTCATGTCAAGAACAGAGGAAGACCCTGCACAACACCTTTGCATTCACCAGAGAGCAAAAATAGCTTTAGACAGTCTATAGGAGTCTCAAGAGCACTTCAATCCTTTGGCTAGAAGGTGGGCAAGTTAGTATTTGACTTCAAAGTCTCCTCCCTTGGACCTGATTTCCATCTTCCATAGCCAAGCCCACCCTAACCACACTCCCGGCATCTCCCTAGGGGGCTACTGTGCCTTCCTGCTCCAGTTACATTGCTGTCCTAGATGGCTCTTCAGTATCATTTCTCAGAAACAGGAAACCAAGGCAACCAGTCTTGATCCCATTTTAGGAGCCCTGTGCTCTCCGAGCCCAGCCAGTGGCTTAGGTGCGCAGCTGCCTTAGGCTGCAAGGTGGGGCTCAGTGTCTGGGACTGGGAAGCCTGCTACTTCCTGGAACCTCGGTTCCATGATCCCCCGCAGACAGAGCTGGTGGGTCAGCCTCTCCTCTTCTTCCCAAACTCCCTCCAGTGGCTGGCTGACCTGCTTTGACTCCTCCTTGCTTTCAAGGCTACTCTTGATATTCATCTTAACCACAAACCACATTTTACGTGGTGCGATGTGCCAGGGTCCCCAGTCCTCCCAGAGAGGGCCAGATCCCCTTTCTGCTGTTCCTAGTTGTCTAAAACAGGCAGGGACTGGCTGTGGAGAAGCTGTCTGTGGGCTTGGGAACTTCAACAGTCATTTCGCTTATGCAGTCATCTAGTGTAGGTTAGGTTGTAATTTTCTAAAGCTGAGTTTGTAAGAAGCCAACATGTTCTATGGGATAAAAACAAGCACTTACTACAGTAGCACAAATGATTGGCTGGCATGTGAAACTGCTGTAAGGAGCAGAGGCCAGAGAAAGATGTGTGGATAGCATTACAAGTCCAGGCCTTGGGTCAAAGATGAGGGAGCCTTTCCTGGAAAAAGTGGAGCTTTCTCATGCTTTCACGTTTAATTCTCAGAGCCAGCTGAGGGAGACGTACACTGCTCTCATTTTAAAGATGAAGAAGCTGAGTCCCCGGAACTTGAAATCACCTAAGGTCACCACATTAGGGGTATTAAGAACAGCTAACACTTATTCAGTCATGACGATAGGCTAGGAATTTTCCCAAGTGCTTTATTTGTATTGACTCACTCAGTCCTTACAATAATAACCCCCATGGGGGAAGGATGATTCTGGGTATAGCCGTTCTCTATCACCCTCATTTTCTGTTGAGAAAGTTGAGGCAGTGAGATATTAAGTAGCCTATTAAAGTCACCTAATTTGTGGCAGAGCTGGGACCTAGAGGACAGACTCCAAACTTTTGTTCTTTACCCCAGGTTTTGCTGCACTCCTTTTCTCAAAAAGATGGGCTTAGTCCAGGCTCAGGTAACCTTTAAGTGTCATGTGCCCTGTGCAGGAATAAGGGGGTAGGTAGGGTGAAATGATGTAATTCCAGACACCTCGGTCATGCAACTGGGAACGGTTGCTTCCCTACCATTTTCTGGGCATGGCGTGAGAGGAAGCTCAGTGTCTAGCCTTCATGAGAGAGAATAAGCTCACATAAAACACAAGGACCCCAAGCCAATGTAGAATCAAGTGTTCAGAATGTACTGATTGCCTAGCTGATAGTGCCCCTCCGTGAGGGCGGGGTTGTTTTGCGGGTCCCGTGGCCTTACTGCACAACTAGAAGATTGTTCCTAGACTTGTTTTGTGTTTTGGGGAGGAAGTTCATTAGAATTGGTTTTGTTGTTGTTGCATTGTAATAAAATTGACTTAGGCTTGAAAAAGACAGGCATATTATGGCTAAGGGGACGATGGGAGAAGTAGAGAGTATTTCCGGAGGAGGGAACAGAGAGAGCAAAGGTTTTGAGGCTGATGTCTCTGTGACTCAAACGACTCAACGACTTCAACGACTCTGTGACTCTGTGACTTGGTTGACTTAAGGAGAAACAGTTTGGGGGAAACAAAAGGGCATTTTTATACAGAGATGTAGATGGACCACGAAACATCAGACAGCATGTCAAATGGGTGTGGCTGGCCAAAGGGGGCCGTTGAAGATTCGGGAAGGCAGTCGCCAATGGGAGCAACTTTGGGGGAAGGTCACCCTGCTCAAGGGAGACGGGATGAATGGGAAGGGACAGTCCGAGAAGTCAGCTAGGAGATGGCTCCAGTGCCCCAGGCATGAGGGAATGGAGCTGCCGTGGTCAAAATGATGAAGACGGAGTGGCCCCCAGAAAAGAGCCACAGGATGTGAGGAGCGGATGGGTCTTAGAGCTCATCTCCTCTAACTGTCCCCTTCTCCCCTCCCAGGGATTGGGCATAGTTACGGGTTTCTAGTCCAGTGACTGCCCATGTTTGAATGAAAACAGAAAGGGACAGAGGGCTCATTTCCTCCTGTTATGTTTTTGGAAAACTCGGATTGTGAGAAATGTCTTTGTAGAAAGCCAAAATTGGCCTCCTAGTGAATTTCATACGTTGGTTATTTCAAAAGAAGAACCAGCTGCTCTGAAGAAAGCGGGTGATATTAATGGGAGTCGCGGAAAGAGAAGGCCTGGTTCCAAGGCTCCGACCTGGGTGGCTGTGACAGGTCAGGTTCACGTGGGGGCTTAGTCACTTCTGTGAAAAGGGGGATAGGATGTGTCCTATGTAGTTCTTTTTTCTGTTTGGAGGATCAAATGATGTGCCTTGTGAGCATGCTTTGTGAACTTTAAAATGCCTCATAAGTAAAAGATATGATAATGCTCCATAGGGGGGAGTGGTACAGTGGAGTGACAGAGAAACGTGGATCCAAATTCCAGCTCTGGCATCTTTTAGCTTTGTGCCTTGGGGCTCCTTCTGCAGTCCTCATTTCTGTAGCTGCAAGATGGGATAAGAACTGTCCTGCCTGAGAAAGCTGTAACTAAATCGACGACGTACTCATACTTGCAAGCACTTAGCACAGGGGCTGCCTGACATATAATTCATATGAATGAGTTCTGTTACTAATATTGATGAACAATGACTTCCTGCATACAGGGGATGAGGGGAGAAAGAGAAGCCAAATCCATGGACTTGAACTGGAGTGAATAAAGAAATGATGGCTTGAAAATGTGAGGGAAGTGGGTTGGGATGATCTGGCAGATGTTTTGAAATGGTGTGACTCCTTGCATAGTTCTGTATGTTTATGTACATGCCACAGGCAGTATTTTGACAGTGACTGTTTTGGGGGGTCCTGCTCAATGTCAAGCAGCTGTGTTCTCTCTCTGACACACATTTAATAAGAGTTGATGGAGTGAAGGAGAGTGTAGGCATTCACAGCCCATTCCGCCTAGAGCCCGTAAACAGTCGGGAGCTCTATGTGTTGTTGCCAGAGAGAGTGTCATGTTTAGATGCCAAGATGGTGAAAGAAATGTCATCACCTATGCATTCCTGTGGAGGGACCA